GGCCGAGGCTGTGAGGAAGGCGGCGGCGTGACGACGTCTGCCGCGTAGGTTAGAGGCTGCAGGGGGTGGCCGGCGCCAGCTCCCAGGCCTCGGAGAGTGACCTGCGGTGGAGCTGCCTCCTCGCAGCTGGAGAGCGGAGGGAGAAGATTGCTAGCTGGCTGGAGGTGCCATCCTCTGCGTGGCTGGCCGAGGGGCCCGGAGTCCAAGGCGTCTCTCGTCACCACTGCTCCCCGGAGCTCCAGGGTTAGAGACATGACCCGCGAGGGTCCGGCCCCGGTCCCGGGACCCGCAGCTCCGCTGAGCGGGTCGGTGCTGGCGGAGGCGGCGGTGGTGTTCGCGGTGGCGCTGAGCATCCACGCGGCCGTGTGGGACCGATACTCGTGGTGCGCGGTGGCCCTGGCAGTACAGGCCTTCTACGTCCAGTATAAGTGGGACCGGCTGCTGCAGCAGGGAAACGCTGTCTTTCAGTTCCGCATGTCCGCTAACAGCGGCCTGCTGCCCGCCTCCATGGTCATGCCTTTGCTCGGACTAGTCATGAAGGAGCGCTGCCAGGCTGCGGGGAATCCGTTCTTCGAACGTTTTGGCGTTGTGGTGGCAGCCACTGGCATGGCAGTGGCCCTCTTTTCGTCAGTGTTGGCGCTGGGCATCACCCGCCCGGTGCCAACCAACACTTGTGTCATTTCGGGTTTGGCCGGAGGTGTTATCATTTATATCATGAAGCACTCGCTGAGCGTAGGGGAAGTGATCGAAGTCCTGGAAGTCTTACTGATCTTCGTTTATCTCAACATGATTTTGCTGTACCTGCTGCCCCGCTGCTTCACCCCAGGCGAGGCGCTGCTGGTATTGGGCGGCATTAGTTTTGTCCTCAACCAGCTCATCAAGCGCTCTTTGACGGTGGTGGAAAGCCAGGGGGACCCAGTGGACTTCTTCCTGCTGGTGGTGGTGGTAGGGATGGTGCTCATGGGCATCTTCTTCAGCACTCTCTTTATCTTCATGGACTCAGGCACCTGGGCCTCCTCCATCTTCTTCCACCTCATGACCTGCGTGCTGAGCCTTGGTGTGGTCTTGCCCTGGCTGCACCGCCTCATCCGCAGGAACCCCCTGCTCTGGCTTCTTCAATTCCTCTTCCAGACGGACACCCGCATCTACCTCCTAGCCTATTGGTCTCTGCTGGCCACCTTGGCCTGCCTGATGGTACTTTATCAGAATGCCAAGCGATCGTCTTCTGAGTCCAAGAAGCACCAGGCCCCCACCATCACCCGAAAGTATTTCCACTTCATTGTGGTAGCCACCTACATCCCAGGCATCATCTTTGACCGGCCACTGCTCTATGTGGCTGCCACTGTGTGTCTGGCAGTCTTCATCTTCTTGGAGTACGTGCGCTACTTTCGCATCAAGCCCCTGGGTCACACTCTGCGGAGCCTCCTGTCCCTCTTCTTGGATGAACGAGACAGCGGACCACTCATTCTGACACACATCTACCTGCTCCTGGGCATGTCTCTTCCCGTTTGGCTGATCCCTAGACCCTGCGCCCAGAAGGGCAGCCTGGGGGGAGCCAGGGCCCTGGTCCCCTACGCAGGGGTCCTGGCCGTGGGCGTGGGTGACACAGTAGCCTCCATCTTCGGCAGCACGATGGGAGAGATCCGCTGGCCTGGAACCAAAAAGACATTTGAGGGGACCATGACGTCTATATTTGCGCAGATCATTTCCGTCGCTCTGATCTTAATCTTTGACAGTGGAGTGGACCTCAACCACAGTTATGCTTGGATCTTGGGGTCTATCAGCACCGTGTCCCTCCTAGAAGCGTACACGACCCAGATAGACAATCTCCTTCTGCCTCTCTACCTCCTGATATTGCTGATGGCCTAGCTATTGCACAGCAGCAGTGACGGAGGAAACGGATGGGGAGGATGAGTGGCCGTAGGAGACGGCTTCTTGGGCACGAGGACCTAAGCAATGAAAGCGAATCTGATTCTTTAGTTGATTTCAATTTCCAATAAAAACGCAAAGCTCTCCTGGTTCTAGTTTTGCTGGTGCTCAAAGAGAGGGAAAGGCTTAAAGGAGAGTACAGCAACTCAACCCAGGTAGATTCCCTTCTCTTACCTTGCAGTCACAGGGGGGCCGAAGTGGACCCTGGAGGCAGTAAAGTGTAATGATTAACACTTGAGGTTCTAGTGTCAAATTAATCTAGTCGGAATCCTTGGCTGTGGCGGGGCATGGTGGCTCATGCCTGTAATCCCAGCATTTTGGGAGGCCAAGGCCAGAGAATCGCTTGAGCCCAGGAGATCGATATCCGCTTGAGCCCAGGAGATCGAGATCAGCCTGGGCAACATAGTGAGACCCTCATCTCTACAAAAAACACAAAAATCAAGCCAGGCTCGGTGGCTCAGCCTGTAATTCTGTGCCTTTGGTGAGTGGATTGCCTGAGCCCGCGGGTTCGAGACCCGCCTGGGCAGCGAGACCTCATCTCTACAATAAATCAAAAAATCAGCCAGGCGTGGTAGCACATGCCTGTAATTCCGGCTACTCGGAAGGCTGAGGCGGAAGGATCGCCGGAGCCCAGCAGGTCGAGGCTGCGGTGGCTGGGGGCGACCACT